AGTAGTTGCAATAGAAATAGTGTGGGTCCCACAACCTGAAATATTTATTATTTGATTCTTTACAGAAAAAGTTGACAAATCCCTGGGATAGGTACCAGGGACATAACTTCATATGGCTCAGGAGTAACTGAATATCCCTCTTCTAATAAAAATAAATAAATAAACCTGGTAGGCACCTTACACCAAATAGTTTCATTTTACCCTTCCCTCCATTTCCCAGTTTAAAGAGGAAAAAAAAAAAAAAAGAAAAAGAAAAAACTGAAAGTTCAAAGTCTCACAGGCGTTTCCTATGGTCAGAGTAAATTATTAGTAGCAATATAGACTTAAATGTAGGTCTCCCTCCTCTTGGTCAGAAACTTCCTAAATATTCATCCTCTCTCAGTCCTGATATGTGTGGTAATATCTTGGCAAGGTATTTTCTTTGTTTTTATTTGTAACATGAAGAGTTTGGATTTATGAACTGTATACAATATTGTTTTTAACCTAATGTGCTCTGCTGTTTACATAAGGAGATACTTGGCTCTACAGCAATACAAACATGAGACATGGACTTAGATCTGAATTCTAGCTCCTGCTCCTTACTGGCTGCAAGTCCTTTGACAACTTGTGGCTTCAGGTTTCATCTGCAAAATGAGTTTACTGCTGGACATGGTGGCGCATGCCTGTAATCCCAGCACTTGGGAGGCTGAGGCAGCAGGACTGCTGCCAGTCCAAGGCCAGCCTGAACTACACAGCAAGACCTTGTTTAAAAAAAAAATGAGTTTACCTAACAACTACATCACTACATCAGTGAGACTATAGGTATGATAGGGCTCAACAAATAAAAACACTGAAGGACTACTAGTAATAAATTATTAATAACATGACTTCTCCAGCTGTGATAATCTGCAATATCCCATTCTTCCTTCCATGCCTGGAAGGACAAAGTAGTCATTATGGAAAAGAAGGAAATAGGAACTAAAAGAAGCAAAAGGAGAGGGCAAGAAAGACAGGAAAATTAGATAGGGAGGAAGGGAAGAAGTTACAAATGGGAACAGAAGTAGAGCAAGGAAAGTGAAGGAGGAGGAGGACAAGGAAAAGGAGAAGAGGAAGAAGCAAAACGAAAACAGCCTAGGAAGGGGAGAGGGTAGAGTGAGATGGAGAGGAGGCCAGGAAATGCAGGGTGAGGGAAGAGGAAAGGAGAGAGAACAGATTTAGGGGTAGACTACTACTGTCTCCTGTTTATCATTTACCAACCTCCTGGTCACTCTGCCCTCAACAACTTGGTCCTGATCTCAGTCTCTCTTCACTGCAATAATATTTGACTTAACTTCTACCTGCGGGATACATTTAACACGCTGCTCTCTCAGTCTAACAAGGCATACGTTCTTCTTCACCCTTACCTTCTTACAGTCTCACTGCACTTGGGGCTTACCCTGGACTTGGGCACCATAGTAACTCACAACCTCTGAAATTGCAATTTTAAATAGCCCACACTTAGACCACTAGCATCTGTACTGCCAGCTCACTTGCTCCAATATCCTACTATAACTATGCTCCAGTCACACCTTGGTCCTCTTCTCTACCATCCCCGTTATCAGCCACATACGTTACTGCTTCACTTTCCCGTGTGGCTTTCCTGTGTGTTTACAGATCATCATAAACATTCTTAATGGTTAGGGTGAACTGCACCTGTAACCTCAGCGGATGGGAGGCTGAGGGAGGATTGAGAATTTTAGACCAGCCTGGGCTACACAGTGAGATCCTGTCTCAAAAAAACAAAACCAAAATTCTTTTGCAAATACCTTCAACTTTCTTGGCCCTCTCTCTCTGCTGTACTTGCCAGGAAAACCCATGTTAAATGAACTGAATCTACCTTCTCTGCCTGCACCTGAATAGGAAAACATCTTCAATTATTTTATTCTATTACTGTTTTATGTTTGCAGTACTGGGAATTGTACAGAAAGCCACACCCCCGAATTTGTTTTTTTAAAACAACTTAGTAAGTTGCCACGTTGCTCAGAGTGAGCTTGAACTTGTGATCTTTTTGCTTCAGCCTCCAAGAGTGCTGGGAATGCAGGGATAAAGCATCCTGCCTGGCTAAATTCAATTGTTTTAAATACATGATCTCATGTACCAAATGGGCTCTTAACATTAACCAGAGTTTTATGATCAGCTTTCTTTAGAAAATAAACTTTTCCTCAGAAATAATGAATTGTACCATCTCTTTCCTTAATAATCATATTTCCTTTCTCCTTACCCTCAGCTGATGCTCCTTTTTTACTGAGAAAACAGAAGTTATCAGATAGGGCTCTTCTCATTATCTTCCTACTTTCTTTCTTTCTTTTTTTTAATGAAAGCATTTTCTCACCAACTTTACTTTTTTTGGGGTGTTTTTTTTTTTTTTTTTTGACACAAGGTCTTACTATATAGTGTAAGCTGGCCTCAAACCCACAATGATCCTCCTGCCTCAGCTTCCTGACTGCTGGGATTACAAACCTGCACCACCATGCTCAACTTCTCATTAACTTTAAATAAACATAATTTGCATTTTTTAAAATATAAAGCTCTGTGGCATAGAACGTGTTTTCTGCTCCATAGGGGTTTTTTTTGAGTCAAGGTCTTGCTTTGTAATTTAGGCTAGTCTTGAACTACGTAGCCTGGGGCTGGCCTTGAATTTGCAAGGATCCTCCTGCCTCAGCCCCTTGAGTGCTGGGATTAGAGGTGTCCCCGGGGTTTTAGATGCAACTGCACTACTAACTCCTCGGTGCCCTTAAGGCAAGTGTTAGCCTTGTTCTCTTCTGTGGGAAGTCCTTGTTGCAGCTTTAGGGGCTGGATTCTTATCACATGTTTAACCACTTTCAGTTTCGCCTTCACTTAAGGGATATTCTTATGAACTTGAGGAGTATGGGCTTTTTCTAATCCAAGCAACTTTATTTTATCTTTTTCCCAATATGGACGTCTTATTGTACTTTTTATTCTGGTGACAGTGTGCAATTTGTGAGGGTGCTGTGGGTCCCCATCATATTTTTCATGATCTTCAGGGTAAGGCTTAAACACTTTATCTGGAATTCTTGATTTGGTAAATTTGTGACGAATCCAATCTGTACCCATGTGAGATTCCACACCTTTTGTCACACTCTGTAGCCTGCCAGGGGGCCCCTGAACCACTGAGGGCAAAATCCCTGCCATAGCGTAGTAATTATCTGTCTTCAGAGGCAGCGCCTGCTAAATGTCCAGTCTGAACTTTATCTTCCTACTTTCAACAACCTTCAAACCTTCCTGCAACTCCTATTACAAATAAACATTTTTTTCCCTCTTTAAAACCTTTTGCAAAGCCAGACATGGTTGTGCACATCTGTAATCCCAGGATTTGGGAGGCTGAGGCAGGAGGATTGCTGCAAGTTCAAGGCCAACCTGGGCTACATAGTGAGTTCAAGACTAGCCTGCAAAAAAAAAGACTAACTTGAACTACTGAACAGTGAGATCTTGTCAAAAAAAAAAAAAAAAAAAAATTGCAGTTGTCTAAATCCCTCCCTATAGAGGACACTAACTGGTTGTGGAGTCCCAATGCGATGGGAGGCTGGAGAGAAAACGCTACAAAAAATGGCTTTGGCCCCAGATGGCTCACTTGATTTTTGACAACCCTTAGGCTGTAACTACTTGTTAGATCCTTCTTGCACATCTCTGTCTTCCTGAGAAACCACTTCTAAGATACCAACATGTATTATAGCAGTCATTGATATTTTCTTACTAATCAATCCATAACTCTGTAATGTTTGTATTGTTCCTATCCTATTTCATAAATGGATGCATGTTTATTATTATGTGTTTCCTACAACAACCATTGAGAATAGTTAATGATTATTCAATAGGTCACTCATGTATAGTTCTAGTTATTTTCTTTCGAAGATACCTAAGTAATCTCCTACCTCTTTTGTCTGTAACTCACTATTATTTGTCTATTTGTTTTCCTGAGAAACTATCTTGTAGATAACAAAATGTAAAACAATAACCATTGATAATTTCCTACCACTTTGTCTGTAATTTGGTAAGCCCCCCCATTATTGTTATCCTTCTTTTATCTTTAAAATAAAAAAAATAAATCCCTCCCTATATGCTTCATATATCCTCTCCTTTACTATCAAATCATTCCTAGGAATTCAAATACAAGCTCTGGTATAGCACTGCCCAATCGAAGGAAAAACTGTTTGCACCCTGTCCAATACGGTTGTCACTAGTTACATGTTACTACTAAGCACTTGAAATGCAGTTAGTATGTCAGGACTCAACTTTTAATTTCATTTAATGTAATTAATATAAACAGTTACATGTGGCTCTGGCTGCCATGCTGGACAGCAAGGCTCCTACGTCCTATCCTTAATACATTTGCCCTGACTCATTCTACTGTTTTCATTCCTCATCTCCTGTCCACACCTCTTTTCAATAGTTTCAAATTAAACACAGTGTGTGATCCGCTTTGGCCAAGATCATCAGTGTCTGCTGGTGGCCAAAGCCCATTTATCTGTTTTTAATACACTGTTCAGTACTACACCACAACCCCACTCCAAATGGCTTCTCTTTAGTGGGGTGTCCCTGTCTCCTAGTTTTCCTCCGGACCTCTCTGGCTTCTACTCAGGCTCTTCCTCCTTACTCCAACTTTAAAAGGTTTGCGTTCACCAAGGTTCTCAGTTCTTGGATTCGTTTTTTTCCTCCCTTAAAATTTACTACCACGCCGGGCGTGGTGGCGCACGCCTGTAATCCCAGCACTCGGAAGGCTGAGGCAGGAGGATCCTTGAGAGTTTGAGACCAGCCTGGGCTACAAAGTGAGCTCAAGGCCAGACTGAACTGCATAGTGAGACCCTATCTCAAAAAGGCAAAACAAACAAACAAACAAACAAAAAAACCTGCCATAATAAAGGGGGCAGGAAAAAGGACTTACAAATTAATTAAGGACTTTCCATCGCTGTTAAAATATGATCTTTTTTATAACTTTTCTATAACCAAAGGGCCTGACTGACCTGCCACCAGCCGAACTTCTGGGTTCTTTACCCTCCGCCCTCCCACTTCGCACGGCCCTGGTCTCATTGGCCTTGAACGCTTTCCCCGCTTGGTGGTATACTCCATGCAGTCTTTCCTGGTTTGGCTCCTTCCCAGCCTTACGTCTTGGCTTAAATATCACTTCTGAAGGGGCTTCTTAGACCAAATCACATGTTCCTAGTTTTTCCTTGGTTTATGCCTATTTGTGCGGACCGTCTCCTCCTGCAGCGGAAAATCCAGTGAACACACAATGGCTTTGGCGCTGCAGCGTGTCGCGTGCCAGCCTCCGGCCCGGCTCCGGACGCATGGTGACCCTGTACGAAGCGTTCCGCGCCTAACGTCAAGAGCTACATCTCCCAAGGCTGGCACGGAACCTGAAGCGGGGACCGATCCGGCCGGAGCAGCGCACCCGGAAGCGGGCGCAGACGTACACGCGCAGCGGGGGCCCCGCCCCTTCCGGCCGCGGCGGGCG